CTCTGGGATGAGAATAAGAAAGATAACTTCCCCAATGAAAGTGTAAAATGTTGTCACCAGAAGAAATGTGAAGGGATTCTGCATACAGATGCTCAACAGATGATGGTTGATCAACTAAAATAGTTGTGAAAACTTTCTCTTGTCCATAGTTCCATAGGCCTTCCATGGGTTGATAACGTCCCTGAAAATATATGCAAAACAATATATGCAAATTTGTCCAGGAAGGGGTCTCAACTTGATGTACAAAGGATTCCAGGGATGTGAGGATATCAGTACCTGGAAAGAAAATGCTTCTGCTTTCCATCTTATTTAATAGAACTCAAAAGCAAATATAATGCCATGTGAGGCCATGCTACAGATAGAAAGTGTAAGGATATGGAATCAGCTTTTATCTGGTTTCTTCTCCTTGGTTCTTATCTTAGTCTATTTATGCTATAACAAAATACTTGAGATTCCGAGACTAGGTAACTTATAAACAACACGAATTTATTTCTCATAGTTTTAGAGGCAAAGGAAGTCTAAGATCAAAATACCACCCAGTTTGGTGTCTGAAAACTGCTCTCGACTTCCAAGATGGTCAGCTGACCACTGTGTCCTCACCTGGCAGTAGATGAAAGGGCAAAAGGGTCTAGTTCATTCCCTCAAGGCCTTTTATAAGGATACAGAATCCATGTGATTTAATCACCCTTTAAGTCTTTCAAGACACCACTTCTCAATGCTATTGCATTGGGTCTTAGGTTACAACATATAAATTGGGTGGGAGGGGGCGTATATATTCAAACCATAGCGGTTCTCCCCAGTTTCTTCATCTCAGTTTAATCATGTGTTAAATATAAATCATATTTTTTTCACAGATAAAAATAGTTTAGCACCACAATTGTATGTAGTGGGTTTTTGAGTACAGTTATGTAAGACCTGCTTAAGCATCAAGGCTCGTCCATAAGTGGTTCCGCCCACTTGCAATGATACCATTTTGGGAGTAGTATCTTAGTCTATTTTGTTTTGCTATAGGAAAATATCATAAACCAGAAAAAAATATTTTTAAATCACTTTTCATAGTTTTATAGACTGGAGCGTCCCAAAGCATGGTGCTAGCATCTAGCATGGGCCTCCCCCTGCCATATCCCATAGCAAAAGTTGAAGATCATAGGAGCACATGACACAGAGTGATCCCTCCTCTAAAACCACCACAATGACAATGAAACATCAACATGATTGGGGGGGGCACAAATCATAGTAAGTAAGCCAGTTGTTTAGCAGTGAGGAATACAGACCTAACTCAGTATTTTTCTACAGAAGTTGCTTGGACACTCTAGCTGACAGCATTACCTGTCAGTGAGAGCTGAGAAAATACAGAGAGTGCCCAAAAAATGGATACACATTTTAAGAAAGGAAAGAAGACTATATTAAAATTGTAATACTTGAGTCACTTTTGGCTTCTGCAATTACAAGAGAGACAAGATATGATATACAAGATAAAAAATGTTACCAGTATATATATTATTACAACTTTAATATCATTCTTTCCCCTTCCTAAGAATATGTATAAGTATTTTTGGCACCCTCCATATTCTGAGAGCGTCAGCTGCTTTTCATTCTGCTGTGCCTTCCCAAGCTGCTGCTCCAGCCTTCTCCTGTGTTCATTCTCTCTCAGGCCAGCTGGGAGAATTTTCTAAAGAGGGTTGTGCTACCTTCAGCTCTAGGGATCTCCAGGTGACCTTCTCAATCCTTAGAACACATTGAGCAAAGGGCTTGATCCACAAAGTTGAATTTTTCAGAGAATCCCCTCACCTTCCCACTTGCCAAGTGGAAAAGAAGAATCAGCTTATTAACTCCTATAATGACATCAGGCGACGAAGCTTACTTTCATAACTACTCAGGATAATTGGGGGAAAATAGAAGAAAGTAAAAGCATATTAGGCAGTGAGAGAACACAGAGTGTTGTACATTCATTTCCTTGTTTAGAAAGACAAATTCTTTGGACTTTATAACACAAAGAGTTTGCATGTCAGTGGTTGAAAGGTATGTCTTTCTTGGGACTAATTGTCATATGTGTACTTTGTGACACAGTCTGTCATTTTTTTATTGAGATTGTGGCTCATCATATTTTTACGTGATGTTTTCTGAATCAATCTGATATTTTTCTTAAAATGGGCATTAATTCATCCTTTCACGGATTCTTTTAGTGAATGTTTATCGATGGCTTCTTTTATTTTCAGCCCTAGGACATATTTGAAATTTATCTGATTTACAAGACAAATAGAAGTTCATCTTTAAGCTGAGAGTGCAAATTGGTGTTTAAATATTTTTCAAAACTGTTTTCCTTCCCTTCTTCACTAGAAGAAAATGTATAGAATTTTTAATGTCCTGGTACATATGTTAAGTCATTCTTAGCGGAATGTCAACATATAAGGCTTGAATTTTTAAAAATTCATTTAAAAATATCATGTATCAATTTTAATCTAATACATTTTGTGCAAAAAAAAAAAAAATGTTAGGCTGGGTATAGTGGGTCATACCTATAATCCTAGCAGTCTGGGAGGCCGAGGACTAGGGTGGACTGTTTGAGCTCAGGAGAGTAAGACCAGCCTGAGCAAGAACAAGACCTGTCTCTACTAAAACTAGAAAGAAAAAAAAATTAGCAGGGCATTGTGGTGGAAACCTGTTGTCCCAGCTACTTGGGAGGCTGAGGCAAGAAGATTGCTTGACCACCAGAGTTTGAGGTTGCTGTGAGCTGTGATGCCATGGCTCTTTTTCCAGGGCGACAGAGTGAGACTCTGTCTCAAAAATAATGTTAAGGATGTAATCTAAAAATTATATTTCGGGATATATTTCATTCTTGTCGTCATTCCTTTGAGGTAATCCATTTCTCTTTTAACTAATATGAATGGAATGTCTCTGAAGTTTCTCACGCACTCCCAATCTTTTTCTTTTGTTATTTCTGAATTAAGTGGGTTGACATTCTTTGTTTTTCCATATCCATTCACTATTTAACTCAATACTTCTTTATTGAATACCCTGCACATAATAATTAGATGCACTGCTTCATAAGAAATTTTTTCAAAACAGCATCCCTTTGAAAATTATTTTCCCAGGAGATATTATTAGTACTTCTATTAGCAAGCAAAGTGAGGAAGGAGAGGAATGAAATATTAGATTTTTAATAAATGCCACACACACAAAAATAAACAAGGATATATCATAAGAAGTATTTGATGACAAGGTACATGCTCTCAGAGGAGTGTTATCTCCGCTGAGTTTTGAAACCGAGATTGAGTCAACTGTGGCTGCTGGGAAGAAATGTTTCAGGTGGAACCATGATCAAACTCCCCAGTTCTGGGTAAGAGAGAGCCAGAAATGTCAGAGGGATGGAAGGGAATCAGTGTGACCCAAGCCAAAAGATTGTGGAGGACATTCCAGGGGTCCTCAAACTTTTTAAACAGGGGGTCAGTTCACTGTCCCTCAGATCATTGGAGGGCCAGACTGTGGGCCCCTGGACGAGTGGGCTGCTGAGCAGGACAGGCAGCAGCAGCAAAAACACCTGGAGGGGCAGATAAATGTCCTAGGCAGGCTGCATGTGGCCCGCGGGCTGTAGTTTGAGGACCCCTGAACCTTCTAAGAAATTTTTATTTATGCTAAGTTGGGGAAACATTAAGGTTTCTTAGAAAGCTAAGGAGTGATGCTATGTAATTTAAGTTTAAAATATGAGTCTGGCAGCTTTCTGTGAATATAGATTGTAGGTAGGAAAGAGTGGGAGTGTTAGAATCAATTATTTGGGGATTGCAGTTATATAAGAGAGAGAACATTTACGTAGTTTGTTATTATGTGGTAATGTGTCTTGTCTAAAGAGTATGCCACATGTTCAAATGCCAGACATTACACACATACGTGCAAGATCATCTGATCTCATAAATGCATCATGGTAGATCTAACATCGAAATAGTGGCAGGCTCTAGGAAAAACACCTAATCTCCTGACATCTTTTTTTTTTAATTCAATTATTGTTCGTGTGACACGTTGGCTCCAAAATTCCAATATATACATTTTATATGATTCAAATCTTATTGTCTATTCAATACTTTGCACACTGATTTCTCCTAGAACTAATACCAGAGTTGACAATATAATAAAATTTGCCATGAAATAAGATATGACACTACTGTAATGAAAAATAGTTTTAAATTTATGTAGCCAATATATTTTACAATGCCACTGGAAGGCTGGACTGCTATTTTCCACTCTATATATTACTTAGATCCCTTATACTACAACTACTGATAATGTGTTAAGATAATCATGTCTGTGGAGTTGAGCTGAAAATTTGCAAGAAAGTATTTTCTGAATTGTTTTTGCAACTTTACTAAATTTGGACTACTAATGTTAAATAATGGCCATTAAAATTATGGTGATGAGTCAAATTTAACTGTACGTACTCATGCTAGTATTAAAATATTATTTAAGTCCAGCATAATATGATTAAAATTGCACATTTGCTATCGCTGCAGGCAAAATGATTGTTCATAATTACTTCTCGCCTTCAGTCTTTTCATTTACAGTTCTTGCATACTCTAAAAAAATACAGACCAATTAAAATTTTATTACATTTCATGGATTAATTTAAAAATAATTTCTGAATTAACAGCACATGGATATGTATGTATACACAGTATATAAGTGTGTATATACATTTATATCTAGAGCTCATTGATTTAAATGTCCAAATGATTACATTTTCCAACTAGAAATATTTTTTTTAAGGTAAATTTAGCAGTGTGTTAGCCTCCTCTTAGGAGAAATATTACAAATTCTTATACATATTATTCAAAATGCTAAGCTAAATTTAAAAATACTTTTGAAACAATTGGATAAAATTTCATCTTTATTTTCTGATCACTTCATTCGTTCTTAACCACATTCAAGTAAATTCAAGTAAATTTCTTTTTTTTTTTTAACTCTCTGCTCTATTTAGACTTTAAAGACATAGTGCTTTTATTTTGCAGATTGTTGCCTTGCGTGAACAAAATGTTCATATCCAAAGGAAAATGGCGTCAAGTGAGGGATCCACAGAGTCAGAACATCTCGAAGGGATGGAGCCAGGTCAGAAAGTCCATGAAAAGGTATGACGCACAGGACACGCTCTGACGGGGAAATGTTGGCTCACTGTATAGCATTTTACAGGGTTTGAAGACACAAAAACCATGCAATAAACTTAATTAATAAGTATTTGTTGATTTGTTGGTCAAAGATTCCTGATGGTCTTCTCGCTCACTTACTGTTCTTAGTTTGACTCTCTTACAAATAATACGTATGTGTATGTTTATGCATATATAATACATGTGTAAATTTTTCATTATTTGTTCTAATTCTCTTAAAAATAATTCAGTTACACATCATTGAATTTACTATACATACAATTAAAATTCATAATTTAAATATTTACAATTTAAAGTATATGTAAAGTGTTGATATAGAGTATACTATACTTGTGTGTGTGTGTCTGTGTGTATACATACACAGGGTATATATCCAGGACTACTTTAAGTACATAAACAATACTTTTGAATTATAAGTGATATTATATAGAAATGAATGGCTAATTTTTTATTGTTTATCACCATAAAAACTTTTGATGATCTCATGTTTGACTTTCCCGTAGAATGTTTCTTGTTTTTAAAGAAGTCACCATACATAGGGAAAATGGGAAATTGTAGCTAAATGTACATTCATTTACAAAATATTCATTATAAGATTTTGCAAAATATTCTGTATTGGTTGGCCGCCTCATTCTACACACACATGAATTTGTCTTTCACAGTCATGGAGAGTATGTTTCAAGACACCTGTCTTCTCTATGTATGGGGAAGTTTGGGGACACATTATAACCTGATACCGTATAACACCTCACTCTTTAACAAAGCATTTACACGCAGAACTCCCTGTAGAAAACCAACCTATAATTTTCTGTTGCTGTTGTATTTTGCACATGTCATCTGTCATAGGCTGCTAGATGGCTCCTCAGAGAATTCCGTGTGTCGAATTACCTGGGATTGGCTATGAAAATGGACTTCCTAGTTAACTAGTCTTCTTCATTGAATTCTACAATGTATTGTTTTCCATGATAGCCCTAATTTGTGCTAATGCAGTTCAGAATTGAAGAATGATGCCTGTCTCAAGTATAAAGAACTTGAGAATTTGTCTATCCACTAACAAAGTTCTTCATACTTAAGGCCTTCTTCTAGTGGGCAGGGGTGTGTTTACACGTATTTTTTCCCAAATATTGGGTGGTGCCTGTAGTTCAAGGAGTCGGGTGCCAGCCCCATATATGGGGGGTGGCGGGTTCAAGCCCGGCTCTGGCCAAAATTGCAAAGAAAAAAAAAATTGTTTCTTCAAGATATAAACCCCAGATGTCCTAATATCTAGCCATTATGTAATATAAGACAGTTTATGCCAGTTAGTAAGGATTTCTAGTTATTGGTCACCTAAAGCATTTGTCTTTAACTTTCTCTGTCCTCTAATTATTGATGAAAGCATTTCAGCCAAGATAGAAGAGAAATTCGGTGTCATTGCTAATTCCCACCTTGCTTAGGTGTAACTAAACCTTTCTGAATGTTTTCATTATTCTTTTGGTAGCATTCTTTATTTTTCAGCTTCTTGGAATTATAGGAAAAATAATTTCCAACTGTTTGAAATAATTTAATAATGAAAAATCATAATGATTTAAAATATCATGCCTACTTCATTCAGAATGAATCTAAAATATGTATAAAATGTGTCATATATTTACTATCATTTTGGGGAGTGTCTGAGTAATACAGGTTATCAGATCAGGATAACTGTAGTCTTGGTGTATAATTGAGAAGTGGTTGTTCAGGTTAAAAAAAAAAAACATTTTTAGATACTAACAGAACTGTCAGAAAATGATTTGTAAATCTTGGTCTGAAGGATTACCCTTTTTTACAGCAGCTAAGTCACCTAAATTATATAGTCAGAGTAGGTTATTAGCCAACAAAACATGTTTTGTATCTCAGTGGTTTGGGAACTCTGTTGACAAAACAGTTGACAAAACTAATCTCATAAAATTGCATTCCAAAACAATTCTTATCACTCATGCTAAGATTCTATTCAAAAATTATTAACAGTTTTGTGTTAATAATTTTTAAATAATTAACAATTATTTAAAACAGTTCTTATCACTCATGTTAAATCCTATTTTTAAATAGGATTTAACATGAGTGGCCTGCTCCCGTAGCTCAGTGGCTAGGGCACCAGCCACATACACCAGGGCTAGCGGGTTCGAACCTGGCCCAGGCCTGCTAAAAACAACAATGACAACTACAACCAAAATATAGCTGGGTGTTGTGGCAGGTACCCATAGTCCCAACTACTTGGGAGGCTGAGGCAAGAGAATTGCTTAAGCCCAAGAGTTGGAGATTGCTGTGAGCTGTGATACTACAACACTCTACCAAGGGTGACATAGTGAGACTCTGTCTCAAAAATAAATAAATAAAATAAAAATTATTAGCATTTTTAAAAGAAAACTTATCAAAAAGAAACAATAAGCTTAACTGAAACAAGTATAAATCTTTCTGTGTGGCTTCAATTTAATCGATTGTTTTAGAAGAACATAAATATTCACAGGATAATAAAAATTTTCAAAACACACAATTCTACCTTGCTCAGAACTGAGCTCCATAAATTTTTTCCAGTTGCTTCCTAGATGGGAGTTAATTTTTAAAAGTAAACATGCAGCCTTTGTAAAGGAGATAATAACGCTCTTGGCTTTTATATTCTGTACCTCCAATTACATTTTACAGCTGCAAATATTTGCTAAGGGATATGAATCAGTAGAACATTAGACAGTGGGGGAGATTCAGAAGATAGAGGCCCTGTATGAAAGGTAAGAATCTATAGTGAGAAGTAAACACATTTAAATTAATATTGCAAGACATGATAAATAGCACAATGTCCAGACTAATATCAGATTTGAAAGGAAGGGTAAACGAATCCTCACTGAGGGGTGGGTGTCAGAGAGGCAGTGTGGAATCATGAATGTTTGAGGTTAATAGACCTGGATTCAAATCTCATCCCTACCAACTATTGGCTATGTAACCTTAATCTTTAATCCCCGAGTCTCACAAATGCCATTCTTGTAACTAACAGCCATCATCCATAGGCACGTCCCCAATGTTTTATCCGTTTCTGTAAGTGTCCCTCACTACCTGTCAATTAGAGCCAACAACTGCTCTTTCAAAGATCCAATCTGGTCAACTACAGGTCATTTTATGCACTAGTGTTTCCCTCTCACAAAAATAATTATAATTTGGGTTTATTCCCATCTGGACAATGCTAATAGAATAGTTTTTCTGTGCATTGATCTCACATACTGTACTCTAATTCCTAATAAAACATAATGACAACATGTATGTTTCCCTTTCATTCTCCAACCGAATTTTCAAGCAATAAAACCAATCAGGAGAATGGGGTTTCTGATTTGCCATCTGGGAAAGAGAAGGCCCAATTCCAGCCCTAGATACATGGACTGGGCTGGCCCAGAGTCAATGGTAGGTGAGAAGAAGACTCAGGAGAGGCAAGCTTAGGCTGTTCCGTAGTTTATTCATATGGTTATGAAGATAATTTCTATCAGTTTTCTAGAAGATGAGTTAGAGAGGAAGGTCACAAGTCAGGTGTCTTCTATAGGTAATGGCAAAAGTAAAACAATCTTTTAATGTTGTGTGGAAAATTGTTACATCCAAAAAAACCTCTCTGAGTGCAGTTACTGGGTTATTGCGTTAACTATGACCTTATCAGATGGAACGGTAAAGTGGATTTGAATTCTCTGTCTTTAAAAATACATTAAGTAGCCTTTATATTAGCCAAGATTTGAGGTATGCAGAGTAAGTACATCTTTGCTAAACTAGGATATTTTCAGAGACTTTAAAAGACTGATGGTTTGTAAGAGTTTGACAAAAATGTGTGCGTTTAGCCTTATAGTATGGGCATAATTTGAGGGTCCACACTGTGCTACAGAATCTGCTCTTTTCTGAGTGCCCAGAGAAGAAGGAATTATTTTCTCTCTGTTATTTTGTCTTATCTGTTAAGCCATTCTAAGAGGATGTTTATATCTCTCATTCAGTTCCTGGATTGACCTAATTTTATTTTGCACTTTAGTAGAATTTATCTATCTTAACACGTCTTAAGAAACACTAATTCTCCAGGAATTTAATGAGTTTTTCATAGCCCCATGTCCCCGGAAAAGATTCCCAAGACATGCAAACCAGAAAATATTGTTTTATACAATTTTAAACTGTACAATTACTCTAATAGTTCTCTTTTAACTTTCAGTATTGTCAAACTCTAAGACAGAAACCCAGTACGCAGCGTTTCCAGAGATCCTCTTGATTCACAGGGAAACAGCACATGCAGAATGAGTGTTCTGTGGGATATAGTTTAATAAGGACTTAAGAAATGTTGGCTTTGACCCTTTAAACATAGGCAAATCATTCTTCAAACTTGTTTTGCAACCTCTTTATCAAAGGAACTACAGGTCAATAAGAAGAAGATAAAGAAGCAACATAAAATTCCATACAGCTGTCCAAAAGTGCTTTTGCATAAGTTGTTTTATAGATCCCTGGAACAACCCAGTGACGTTTGTGAAGTGTGACTTCCTCATGCGCAGTTAGACTCTGGCTCCAAGGTAGCCCCGACCCGGGCTGTGTAACAGAGACCCACTGGCCATACAGCTGCTTCTTTGCCTTTTCCTTGTCCCAGCGATGGGGGCCTAGTCCCTGTCTATGGGGAAAATATGTTGCTCCATAAACCTGTATTTTGCTCTTACTCTGTAAACCTATTTTTCTCTTTCTCAATATATTTTATTTTATGCTTGCCTTACTTTGGGGTGCCTGGTCATTTTTTGATTAAGAGTGCTCCAAGAACCGAGGACTCAGGCAGCTGCCTGAAACTCCATTTTGATTTCTCTTTCCTCTTCGATAAGCTTTCTTCACTTGCAGTACAGGAGACCAGAGACCACACTCTCTTCTCTTACCTTATGGATGGCTCTGACTCCATTTGCGTTCTTGGATCATTCTCTTCCCTCGGTCTTCTTAATTGTAAACCAATA